CTTCCAATAAGTTGTCACTCTTGCTCTCCAAATACCAGGACAGGCTGCTAATTTCTAGCAGGCCCTTTTGCAACATCGCTAGCCCTAAATGAATGCCTTTGTAGTTCAAATAATCTTTTCAAGGGAGCTGTCCTATCATCCTAGCCCAAATGCATCTTGGTTTTGACTATTAAGAAAATCAGGCCTCAGCAGTGCTTGACTTTTCCAAGCGGCCTGTGTTTGGGAAGGGCGGTGGCAGCTCTCATGCACAAGTTAGCACCCACTGCAGGAGGGCCAGGGCATTCATAACAGGTCTGGCCCCAGGAGCTACCCTAACTCTCACCCCTACTCCCTACCCCGGAACAATGCTCCGGGAGAGATTTACGTGGCTTCCCTCCGGCTGGACTACCTTCTTCTTTCAATCCCATCAACGTTTCTCTGATTTATGGATCCTCTGTCCAAGAGGAGAGCCAGCTGACCTGCTAGCATCTGACTGGTCACTTCGAAGCATCAACTTTGAAGATGAATGTATTCATTCTTCAAGAGCCAGCAAGGCCAAGGGGAAGAGGGCAAGGTGTATGTCCAGGCCAGGCCCCTAGTATCAGATGCCTGTGGATATTCTTTTATCGCTTTCCCATAAGAAGGATGCGAACATGGCTTATGACCTCGGGTGTGACCTTTGAGCATGTCCAGATGAATGTCCATGATAAAGGGTCCTGAAATCATGTCCCATTTCAGCATGTCTAAAACAACAACAACAACAAGAAAGGTCTGGCTCCCTGAGTCTGAATTGCAAAGCTTTTTAAATAAGGAAAACCACTCCCCATTCCAAACCCAGGCGAGTTGGGGAATCAAGAATGAGAATCAAGCTGGGAGGTTATGCTCAAATTAAGCATCCTAATAAGAAAGAACAAAGCTAATTTACACAAATCAAGAAAATAGGAAAAGAGAGAGAAAGAGAAAGAGAGAGAAAGAGAGAGAGAGAGAGAGAGAGAGAGAGAGAGAGAGGACAAAGACCAAAGGAAATTAAAAATCCATCTGGATCAGTCTTCACACAGGAAGGGATAACTTTAGTCCTAAAAATTTTGCTATTTCTGACTCTATGTCCTCGGTGACTTTGCTTAAATACAAAAAGGTCCATGATATCACAGAAGTCTCCGCTTTGTCCAAACAGAACAGGTTTGATTTTTGGCAAGGAGTAGGAAAAAATCAAATCGACGGACTATGTTTCTTAATATATTTTTAGGGTAAGTTTATAAACCTATAAAAGCTGTATCTTTTAATACTTCTTTAGGTAACTTTATAAAGCTTGAAGATACAACGATGCAGAAAAACAAGAGCCTTGATTTCCCTTCATCTTCTTCTTCCTCTAATGATAATAACTAGAAAGTATTACCAACTATAATGATTTTAAAATATTCCATCAAAAGTGTTTAGGGAGTTCCTTTATTTATTTATTTATTTATTTATTTATCTAATACCTTTTCTGTTTAGATATACTGAGACTGACAATATATTCAAAGATTAATTAAATGTACATAAAAATGTTGGTGTAACTGGTGCCAGTTTATGTGTTTAAATCTTGTTTTTTAAAGCCATGGTGCTAAGCGCAATTGTAAGGGACTCTGGGATTCAACTCAGAGAATTTATTGTAGCTGTCAGAATAGGAGAGTGTTTAGAAATCAAGTAATTATTTGTCCTTCAAATATTTGTTTGTTTCACTCAGCAAAACAATCTGTCAATAATATTGGCTAGAAAAATTAGTTCAGATTACAGACATTAAAGGAGTAAAAAGTTTGTGGTTTGTTCTGCCAAATGCCAGCATTAGACAATAATTTGTTATTGATCCACTCATACCCTTTTCAAGGGGACTTGGGATTCTGGCTATCCTTTTTTTTTTTTTTTTTTTTTTTTTTCCAGAGATAGCAAAAGGATTGGCCTCAAATGCACTCCTTATCTCACACACACACACACACACACACACACACAGAAAAAGGCAGCACTGACAGCTAAAAGTTCAACAAATGGGACACAACTTGCTTAAAGAAAACTTTTCATCCCCTTTCCCTTTAAAAATTTTTAATTAATATTAAACCACTACTAACTACATGTTATTGACACACACTGGACACTCACAGGGGAAACACCTTCCCCTGTGCTTCCAAATACTTCTTTTACCACTTCCAAGTGTCCTCCTCCTTCCCAGTCTTTAACACATCAAAACAGGGAAGAAAGGGCTTTTGTGCGATAACTACAGAGAAAACAGTGGAGAATGTGTCAGTGCCGTGAATGCCAGCACCAGTTTGGGGGGTGGTTTGTTTTTCCCCCTGCCGGGGTATTGCTTTTCCCTTTGCTTCTGCAGTCTTTAAACTCTGGCCACTTTGAGAAAAGCAATGGTTGGAATGAAAAGTTAGGACAAGCTGCTTTAAGCCCGGGTGCTGCCGGAGCATGAGCATGATGAAAGCAGGGTGGGGACCTCGCAGAGCCAGCTCTCCACACGGAAAATTAAAATAAAATTAAAAAAAAAAAATGGGAGCTGCTCCTTTGCACTCTTTCTTAAAATGCTTAGGATCTAAGAGAAAGGGAATTCCTGTTTACAGAAAAACAAAAAACAAAGCAAACAAAAAAAAGTTCCCAGGGTTGCCATCTCCCCATGGTGGGGGCCTGGGTGTGTGTGTGTTTATGTGTGTGCATGTGAGTGTGTGTTTGGGGAGAAAAGAAAGCATGGGGGAGGAGGGAGGGCAGATAACTTTCCTGACATATTAATTCTTTAGATAGCAGTAAATGAATGGTCCAAACAGGCATTTGTTTCCCCTAATAGGTTTTGTACAGGTCTCTCACAGGCGGCGGCATATGCTTCATTTATATGTACATTTATTTAGAACGATAGAGAATAATCGGTGTAGTTTGTCTAGAGTCGCACTTATTATTTAAAGTCCAAAGAGGCTACAACTTCTCTCTGCTCCAAACACGAGCACAAAGGTCTCTTGTCTGTGCCTCCTGCATTAGACTGGAGGCCAATTAAAAATGAAGATGATGTCCTCACCAGTGAGCCTGAGGGGGAGAGAGAAGGAGACTGGAAGGCAAAGTGACGCCAAGATGGCTGCCTCTTCCTTCTTCCCCCTCCTCGCTGCTGCCTGTTTCCACGCAGAAATTAATGTGATATTTAGTTTAGAAATCACATTGTAGGTCATTTGCAAATGAGGCAGCCACTAAGGCACCAAATCTGCCTCGAATGCCCCCCTGATGCCACTGAGGTATGGAGAGAGATTAAAATGCAAACATTTAAATGGACTTAGGCTTGTGCATAGTGACTGGACTCACACACAGGAACACTCCAGTGTGTTCTGAGCCACACACACAGCTGCACATGGACCGAAAGGTCGAAATCCCTCTTAGTTCCCAGGACAGAGGGCAAAGGCAGGCGCCAGGCCGCCACCTTCCTCCTCAAAAGTTCAAAAATGCCCTGTTCATGGTCTGGATTCGATTTTATTTTTTTTTAATGATATATCGTACTGATGACTCTCTCATTAGGCGGACTTTTGAAGTCTGGGAAAACAAGATTTCCATAAATTATCCCTCTAACTCATCCCATGCTGCTACAAAATGGAGAGCTAAATTTTTAAAAATATTTTTATATTAAGAGAGAGAGAGAGAGAGAGAGAGAGAGAGAGAGAGAGAGAGAGAGAATAGCAAGCTAACCAGCTTCCTGACTAACATGTTAGAGAATTAAAATCACTAGTAATTACTGTTATTAATTAAAATAAAAATGTATTCTCAATCATAAAATCCTATCCTTAAAGTTAAGCTAAAATAACATCAAGAATAAATAAAAGTATATCTGGGGCTTTAGAACAGATTTATAGCAGGTTCCTGTGTAGAGTGGAGTGCACTAGGCATAGAACAAAGCAAATGGTTTAGTTCCTATAGGAAATATATTAAAAAGAAAAAACCCACAACCCTTTATCTAAAAGCCATCAGGGACAAGCACTCAATACAAGTTAACAAGCAGGAACTGATAAGATAACATTTATATGAGGTCAGAAGTCAAATGCCAGTCAAAGGCTTTTAACCTCTTGGGTCATAAACAGGAATAGTTAAAAGTGAGAGGTGGTTATTTATCGGATTTTAAGGGTACCTGATCATTGCCACAGAATCACCAATGATGAAACTAATTAGGATTTATAGAAAAAGAACTTTGTAGCTGTTCAAAGAAAATTAACCTACAAACCCATAATTCTTCAATTGTAGGGAGAGAAACAAACAAACAAATCCTCTTTTTGGCAGGGGAGAAATAAATCTAGCAATTTAAACAGATTTAGTTATTAAAATCTCACCCAGAAACAATAATGTATAGCTAATGTACATATCGATTCATATTTGGTAAATAAAATACCTTATAAACTGCATTAATAATCTAACAATAAAAATAATCATCACATAATTTTTCCAATTTTTGTTCTTTTTCTTTTACTCCCCTTGAAATGTCCTAAACTAGACAGAATATAAATCCGACATCACAATAGTTCTTGCCCTCAGAATACCATCATTTATAAATTAAAATATACAAATACGTATTCTAATAGCAATTATTTTAAAACATTGGACTAGCAGGACTGCTTAATTAAATTTCTATCCCAATCTATCCAGAGAAACAGATGTCTCTCCCTTTATTTGCTGTTAGAATATTTTCCTTTGTTTTGGTTTTTGTCCTGTTTATCTTTTTTTTAAGTATCCATTCCAAAGACCCAAACAATTCCTGGTCCCGGAGTCCAAGCTGACTTACATTTTCAAAGCATACCACCCCCCTTTTTCTTCCTCTTTTGCAATAAAAGAAAGCAGATCTAGATATTTCTTTCTAGAGAGAGAGAGAGGGGTTGTTGTTAGGCCTGCTAAGGCCCACTGTTTCTTTAAACAGAGTCCACAATACACTAGGCGAGCATTGTGGATTTAAAATGCTTTTAAATATTTATCAGAAGTATTTTATCATCATATTCAAATGACACCTGGAGTGCACTCACCTTTATTGACAATCTCTGTTCTGAAAGTCCATTTGCTTCCTTAAAGCCCCCCAAGCAGAACAAGGACTACCCGTTTTCATTCAGTTAATGTTTAGCAAAAAACCAAGCAACCTTAATCAGCATGCTGATTGCATCGTCAACTAACAAATAATTTACTACTCTGAGCATTGCATTCCATTAAAAGCTCATTAAATTTTCTGTTCTCCAATGGGAGGTTTAGCTTTTGAACTGCATGCTTTTGCTTCAAATGATCATTTATTCAATTTTTGCAAAATGTTGTGAGTTTTTTTTGTTTTTTTCCTAAAGTGTAGGTGAGTATTTCAATACCTATAGTCTGTAGACATACGGAAACACAGCCCAGGGTTTAGGAATGTCCCATTTGATTTATAAACTCTGTTTAATAAAAATGCAGCATAACCTTTTATACTTTTTAGGAGATCCTAAAATCATTGAGGGTATCTGTGGTTACGACTGACCCAAACATAGCCTCAGAAATAGGAATACATAATATAAAATATCAAATTCCTTTTTCAGAGCTTAATTTTTTCTTTTCTACATAGTACAGCTATTGTTATTTTTTTATTATTTTTTATCCTTGTAAATAGCTATTTCCTACTAATTAAAAAGGAGCATGACACCACAAAACCTTTACCATATTTGGTGCCAAACTTAATGCCTCAGTGTTTGTGTGTGTGTGTGTGTGTGTGTGTGTGTGTGTAACAAGGGAGGGGGCGGGGAGTGGCTAGTTACCCAAAGAAACCCACATCATTTTCTGGGGCTTGCACATACATCGTTTACAAACTCACAATCCCCAGAATTATTTTCACACCCAGACTGGTCTAGGAAAGAGCATTATTTTTAATTTAGGGAAACGGAGGAAAATACTGGCCTCCTAATTAATATGCATCTTTGGATTGCTAATTATGCTCATTGCAAATTTGGGTCATTGTGCATGAGTGACTCTAATGTGGCGCTGAGATTGCCACGCGGCGCAGTGGATTCCTGATTCCCCGTGCTAATCCTGCACTCGGCGATTGTGTCAGGTGCAGTGCTGTATGCTCCAGCAGCTGGCTCATCCTCATCAATGCAAATAAGGCAACTCCTACAATCAGAGCCTCGTGAGTGTGAGGCCTGATTGCTGAGGGCAGGCGAAGGCACTACACAGGCTCACTTTCAAATCACGCTAAGTGACAAGACAACTGCAATACCCCTCCAGCTCAAAATCAACCTTTCGAAAACAAAACAAGAGGGAGAGGATGGCGACAAAGGAGAGGAAAACCCGAGAGTTTGGGAAATGGGCTTGCTTAGAGGGGCTTTATTTAGATACAGAGATCATGTAAAATGCCTTTCCACGAATAATCCTTTAGCTCCCAGCCTGTGCGAGAGACTTTGTTTTAAGGGCTGCAGGGGATGCGAAGGTGAGGGAGAGGCAGTCCTCCCTCCCTTCAAGGAACCCTACGATTTGATTGCAGGAAATTGTAAAGATTAAGATAATAAAAGAATCCTTATTATTTGGCACAGCCACCAAAATCTGAAATGAAAATCATAAAACATAGTTTACAGGAACTATTCAGAGATGACACAGTGGTATTCATTCAGAGCAAGACCTTGGAAGCTTCGGGTTCAAATCCCAGTTCTGCCACGTATTTGCTCCAGTTAGTGCAACTCCCAAAGGCCGTCCTCTGAAACATGGTGGTGACACAGGGTCCTATCTCCTAGGGACCTTAGAAGAAAGCAAGCAGGGTTACACACACAGCACACTGCTTGCCACAGTGCTTGGCCCATAGTCATGCTGAATGATGCCAGCTGTGATGGGTATTATTTCCTCTTGAACATACCAACAAGGAGCAAGGAGGTCCACAGAAATAACAAGACGCCATGGTCTGAAAGGCTTTTATTTGCTCTGTTCCTAACCTCCCGTTCGTTTTTATGTGTGAAGGAAGGGACATACTGCGGAAGGGAAAGGCTGTGAACGTGAGAAAGCCCTGCCTCTCTCAGTGGTGCCCAAACAACCCTGGCAGCTCGGAACATGAAGGAGAGAACAAGAAATCCCTGTGCTTTTGCTTTTCTTCTCTTCCAAACACGTGTGCAGACTTCCCCTGCATTTCGGTCCCACCCTCTTTATTTTGCTGCCTAATCTATAAAGGGGGATTAAGAGCAGCACGCTGCTTTGGCACAGAGCAGATTCTGGGTGAGGACCTTTAGGTAGAGTTTAATGAATACAATTTTCTAGGACTATGAGTGCATATTTTTAGCTACATGCTGGGCTCTAGCGTTGGCTCTTGAGACACATGAACAGACCCTTTGATCAGACTTGGGCATTGCTCCGAGAAGACCCTTTTTCAGAAAGTAGTGGGGGGGGGGGAGGGAGAGAAATGTCTATTTCTCTTATTCTTAATGGCACTTCACAGATTTAGATTTCGGATAACCGGTCCCAATAAGTCACTTGACAACACTGAAATGCACCATTGGAGGAAACAAAGATACTCCTGGGTAGGATTGGACCTGCTTTCTCACCGAAGGCCAGGGCTGGTGCTCCAGTGGGCGGCTGCCGTCCTGTCCCTTGGAGAACAGGCTGGAGGTAGTTAACCTTCCCAGGGGAGGCTTGGCCTAGACAACATCATAGACACCATATCCCCCCTGGAGTTCCCAAACAATAAAACCGCTTCCTTTGCCAAATGCAAAGAATGGTCTGGAGTTGTATATTAGCAAACTGCATCAGGAAGAATGAGAGGGAGGGACTGAGGAAGGGAGTGAGGAGGAAGAAAAGGAGAAAAGAAAGAAGGGTGGAAGACGGGAAGGAAAATTAGGCAGAGAAAGCTTCCAACAAGAACTCTTTTTCTGTTTCATGTTGCCAGGAAGGGAGCAGCCAGCAAGTCCCGTCTTGATTTTAGCCAGTGCCATGGCAAGGATGGGGAGGTGGAGAAGGGTTTTGATGTCATGCCAACCAGATCACAGAGGAGGTGCCAGTTCTTGTGGAGACTGCTGAAACGTTAAGGCCTCAGCATGGGGAGAGAGTGAGCAAGGTGGTGAGTGATCTGATCTCTTGCATTCCTATTCGGGACCCTCTTCTTCTCTCCCTAATAGGATTAACAGATATTTTCCTAAGCAGAAATAAAAAAAAATGTGTCCCATCATCTGAGACAGTCAATTTGTTCACAATGCTCACATTCTTGCAGTATGGATGCAGCACTATTAAAAAAAACTAAAAAAAAAAAACCAAAATACACACACACACACACACACACACACACACACACAAATAGCTTCATTTCCAGAGATACAATGCAGTGGGGAGGTAAACATTTATCTTCATAATCTTACACACCTTTCAGACTGCTTAATTTTTCCCTGTGATTTTCCCCTCCTCTTTCACGCCACCCCCAAGCTCAGCTTCAAAACATCTAGTACAAAAAAAAGACATGACTTCCCCAGAGGATCGGGCCTCAGTGATCCTGATGATGCAACGGGAGCTCTCCGCTATTCCTGGGCGCTCCCTGGGTGTGCTCTGCATCCTGCCTCACAGCCTTGTCCCCCTGTTGCATCACTTACAGAGCTTCATCCAGCACCTGCAAAGGCCACCTCCACCTCTCCCTCCCACCTCATCCCAGGCTATCAGGACTCCTTCCTACCCCACCCCAGCCCACTCCACCCCCACACTCTGCTTTTATTGTTATTATTGCTATTATCATTCTCTCCACCAGCACAGCCCTCTGTGGCTTCTCCTCAGGGAGGCATTAAGTTGCCTTCCTTTGTGCTGCCTTAAAACTGCTGGTCCTCCTCCAGCTCCCTTTGAACACAAGGACAAGTGTCATCTTTGGAAGGATGAATGCGAGTGTTTACAGTGGGATTCCAACCTCACATTGTTGGCATTCCTAAAAAAATCTCTTGCATTTTCATCCCCCCCTCCTCCTTTCTTCTCATTGAGACCCTATAAGATAAGCAGCAATTAGATGCTCCGAAATGAATAGAAACAATAGCTACTGATATGGCTCATTCTTAAGATGTAAATGGTAGACATTTAGCAAGCAGATTAAAGTCTCCATCATTTTTCCTTTTTTTCTTACCATTTGTATATTCAGTATACAGGTAGAGTTAGGTTTTTTGTTGTTTTGTTTTTAGTGGATTGTTGACAGTATTTTCTGTAATTGTGTATTTTCCATTGATATCTGTTAAGTGTCTATTTAACCATAGCGTTCTCTGTGATTATGGTCCCAGATCCTGCCTGGAGAACTCTTCTCCCTCCCTGGTGACTCCTAGTGGAGGGGTTTATGCCTCTGCTCTGTCTGGATTGGCTTTTTAATCTAGTTACTGTTGATGCCTGTCTGCTCAGCAAGACCATGAGGCCTGGAGGACAAAAAAAAAACCACATATGTCCTCCCTTCTGGACCCTCTGTTACTCCCGGGAGAGTGCCTGGCATGGTGAAGTATAAATGACCACCTGGCTTTCTTTCAGGCCAGAGAAGAGCCTACCAGGTCCTGCTTGGGGTCCCTCTGGAGTAGGGGACATCCACTCACTCCCGGCCCACTTCTCCCGCCCCATTCTCACTTATACTTGGCAATGATTTTGAGGCTTCCCTACATTAGGAGGTTTAATTTTTTTTTTTCATCTAAATGCTCATCTTTAGTAAACACATAACTAGATGGATTGTGAAGTGAGGGAATTAAAAAGTGCTATCTTATATCTGAATGAATAAATCATTTATATTAGCTCTTCTGTTCCTAGGCTGGCCGGAATTGGCAACAAATCCCAAGGCATCAGTACTCTCTGAGTAGGGTATTCATTTATTTGTTTTTATTTTATTATTTTTTTTAATTTTTTAAAATATATTTTATTGATTTTTACAGAGAGGAAGGGAGAGAGACAGAGAGCTAGAAACGTCGATGAGAGAGAAACATCGACCAGCTGCCTCTTGCACACCCCCTACTAGGGATGTGCCCGCAACCAACGTACATGCCCCTGACCGGAATCGAATCCCTGACCTTTCAGTCCGCAGACTGACGCTCTACCACTGAGCCAAACCGTTTCGGCCATTTATTTGTCTTTATTTTAAGTGCTCTGACAAGTTGTGTACTGGGAGCCAAATGTCAATTGTCACTGGCCTGAGCAGGAGTTGCTGAGTTACATGTGATGGTGCGTAGCTTTCATCCTTCCTGACTCCCTTTGCTTTTATTTGCACAAGGTATTTACCTTTAAAGACCCACCATCAGCACC